AAAAGGAGGAACTCTGTAAAAAATGGCTGTAATTCCTAAACGGTTAATGCAATATTTTTGTTAAACCCCTTGAATTAAAGCTGAAAGTCTACGCTTCAGTCACATCTTGACTGCTTCATTTCAAATCCACTGTGGTGGTGTACAGAGGCAAAATGACCAAAACTGTGTCACTGTCCCAATATTTATGGACCTGACTGTAGTACAAGACAAGAAACTTGCCACTTGCTAGTGAGATACAGGGCAATAGTAATGCACAGTTAGAGCTGTGTTAGGGGTCTCGGGTGACAGGCAGGAGATGCAGCCAATCAGGGGAGAGATAATGAGAGAGCGTGAGAGTGTAAAACGTTGAGAGTGAGAGAGTGAGAGTCAGATAATAAAAAGAAGCAGGAATCAGGATTGATGGAGTTTCACCTTTTTTTCTTATTGAGCAGGAATGGCATTAATTTGTTCTCTAACTTGGTGGACAGATGATAGTTAATTGATAGTTAGACTTCGTGTTTGTTGAGAAGTTAGAAAGCTAACTGGAGAACTCCGGATAAGCAGCTAGTGACTAAAGGGAGGTGATGGTGGTATTTTCGCCGTATTTTTGTATTTCAAAATTAATTATATCATTCAAGAGTGAATGAGTCAAGCACATTGCTTGCCTGATCTGTGTCTTTTTATACACTGGTGAGGGTTTTATCTAGTGTGCTAACACTATCTGGGCCCTGCCAAACATTGTTTAGAGCCTGGAAAAGAAAATACACAGACTATAAGGTGTACAGATTTGTACCTTTTTTTTTTTTTGGCTAGCTAGAGTTAGCAGCCTAGCTGCATCTATTGTCTCCAGAGTTGCAATGAACATTGAGAAAAGCCCTTACAGGTCATTCTAGAACATCCTTTTAGAGCTAAAGTTGTTGTTCCTCTTTCAGCTGCTCCTGTTAGGAGTTGCCACAGCAGATCATTGGTCCACGTTTTTGATTTGGCACAGTTTTTATGCTGGATGCCCTTCCTGATGCAACCCTCCCCAATTTTATCTGGGCTTGGGAGCGGCACTGAGAGCGCACTGTTGCACACAACCCCAGAGGCTGGGGTCGGTTCCCTGGCCGGGAATCAAACCTGGGCCGTAGCGGTGAGAGCACTGTGGCCTAACCACTAGTCCTCCATGGACCCCTTTTAGATCTAGAGTGAAGGAAAGAAAATATTTGTCTTTCATTATTTCCTTTTAATTATTTTCCTCTGACTTCACAACCTTTAGCTAAACGTTTTATGTTCATCTCTGACTCTTTAAATACATTATATTTCTCATTCCTAATAACTATGGTTTCAGAGCACACCAAGGTCAGAAGTGACAACACAAATTATTCTTAAGGAATTAAATATGAACATTCCAATTCCTGACAAGAGATAAAGGTCATTTGCCCTGCATATACAAAATGAGATCCACAGATCAACTAAAAACACTTACTTCACACTCACTTTTCTAGTTTGAATAGCTGCAGGTCGCTGATTATTTGAATGTTAAGAAAACAATTTTGCCTCAGACAAGGAAAGAGTGACATGCCGATAGAATGAGGTGAAGATGCAAACAGAGCTACCAATATTGTCACTGAAATAAAAAGGCATAGGTGTGCAAGGAGTCATATCTTACACTGTTAGGTGATTATTAACACAGTGTTTGACCATTCAAAATAACAACATTACCATGTAAAATAACAAACAAAGATTTATTAAGGGTCAGAAAATGTCATTTCTGCTTTATGCCATTTAACCTCCTTCCCACTTAATGTACTGTAATTAGATGAAGCTGTTGAGCAGTACAGTGACTTTTAGTCCGAGCTCTGGGGAGAAGGTGCTCTATACTCCACTGTTATATAAACACTAGCTAATTCAGGCCATTAATTGAGCCCTCCTTATTAGCATAAATCCTACATGTTAATCAACTTTCCTTGAGTCTGATTCCCTCCCCTTGCCCCAGTGTGAACCCCCTCTGTGGGTATGGGAGAACGTCACTCTGCCAATCAGACACTGTATCTACCCTTCCGCTCCATCTGTTCAGGGAAGCCAGGCTAGTACATATGAAGATAAATGTTGTTTAGGATTTTAAACAGCCCAGTCCTCCATGGCAGTGCTGTCTTGCAATGCACAGATGCTCAGTTCCCATCTTATCGCTCCTCCTCACTTCATTCCTGAACCCACTAACAAGAGCTTGGGTCAACATGATCAAACTTTGATAGTGGCTAAAAGCAACGTTTGTTACATGGCGGTATATCCTGAGAAGAAGCTTCCTTTTATGTGAATTAATTTTCCACCATTTGTCAGTGTAACCTCTGCTACTCACCAAGGTTCTCTCGCTATCACCGGTTTATGCCTATGCAGCTGAAGTGAAAGTCAAAGAAGTTTAGACCAACCTGTGTTTTAAAGAACTTTTATTAAATGCATTTAAAATGATCATGTTCGCTACAATTCCTTATGAAATGGAAAAGGACTGGTTTATTGGCAGCTGGCATTTGACCTAGCAGCTGTCAACACACTAGACTGGTGACTCAGCACTTTTTTGTTGTTTTACATTCATACTAACGTTATTATTATTAAACCAGTCAGTCAGCTAATCAGTCTATCAATCATGTCTGAATCTGTGTTTGCAGAACAGGAACAGACCAACACCCTCATATGGGATTGTTGAATATCCCATTCCAAAGCCCTTTGCTGCTATGACAGCCTCCACTCTTCTGGGAAGGCTTTCCACTAGATTATGGAGTGTGGCTGTGGGGATTTGCTCATTTAGCCACAAGAGCATTAGTGAGGTCAGGCGCTGGTGTTGGGTGAGAAGGTCTGGTGTGCAGTCGTTCCAGTTCATCCCAAAAGCTGTTCAGTGGGGTTGATGTCAGGGCTCTGTGCAGGATACTCAAGTTCTTCCACTCCAACCTTGGCAAACCATGTCTTCATGGACCTCATTTTGTGCACAGAGGCATTGCCATGCTGGAACAGGTTTGGGCCTCTTAGTTCCAGTGAAGGGAAATTGTAACACTACAGCACACAAAGATGTCCTTTACAAACCTTTTTTTTTTTTTTTTGCATTTACAATATTTCTAGAGTTGTAAGATTTTACATTGCTCACACATGGATGCAACTATATACTGTATATGCACAGCAAATAGTTCCAGGCTTAGTTTCTCCAACTGCAAAACAAAACTTCTCAAAATCAATATCATATTTATAGTAGGATTATTTCCATGTAGCTAAGCCATGTTATATCAGAGTCCTTCCTTCCAGCTCGTATTGACTGACATTTTAAATAGTTGCTTTTGTAAAGTGGAAACTGTGTGTTTACACCAGAAGATCTTTGTGAAAGTAGTGTGGTTTAAGAGTTATGTTTTGTTTTCTGTTCGTGATTTGCTGGTATTTTCAACAGATCTCAATTTTTTTTTTTTTTTGTCTGCTCTCTGGTTGGCCCCCATTACTAATATAAGGGAGTTAGTGTTGATGACCTTGTGAGTGAATTCAGATGAATCATCTGTTATTTTGTATCCGTGCAAAAGAAAGTGGTATCACTGCTTTACCATCAGTTGCCATTGCAGTACAGTGTGACAAATGTCACATTACAGAACTTCGACCTGTCTGCTTTCAGGGAAGACTGTTCATCAACTCAGTAGGCCATGAGCCCTCGAGCAACAGTGATATATTTAGCTGCTATTTTCTTTTTTTGTGTCTATGCCACAAATTTGACTTGCCTCAGTAGCTTTATAGAAGCTGGTTACCATTTATTTGATTACTCAATCTAAATGGGAGTGTTAATGGTACTTTGGAAATTTACCAATAGCAGTGATTTGTTGTTTATAATTGAAAAGTTTCTGGCACTGGTTGTCTAGTTGGCATAGCTCAAATGGGCTATTTGTTTGGGTTGATTTACTATTGAGCTTTATAGTATACAGTCATTTTGCACAGTATTGTATATACAGTATATACAGTATTATATGTGCAGCACTGTAATATAAGTTCTGTGAAGCTAAGATGCTTTAACAAGTAATGAAATGAACAGTTTCTAAATATTCAAAAAATACCCTAAAGAATGCTTTACAAAAACAAAAACAAATCATAATTTGCCTCATTAGGTATACTGTCATGCAGTTTTAAAAGGAAAATGGCTGGTAGGTTGTTCCAAGCATCCTGGAGAACTTGCCACAGTTGTTCTACAGGGATTGGTTCTGACATGCTGCTGTTTCTTCATGTAAAATGCCAGACAGTCTCGGCTATGATCTTGTCAGAAACGTGATCTGTTACTTAATATGGCCGATTACTCGATAACATACAAAGATTTTTTCTGTAATGTTGATTTTTTTCTTTCTTGCTGAAACACCACTGTATCATTCATCCATTAATTTATCTGTAGTAACCACTCTGTCCTGGTTAGGATTGTGGTGGATCTGGAGGCTATCCCGGGAACACTGGACACGATGATACATACCCATCCCTTTCACCCTACACTTTCATAGGTTTTTGGGGAGGATGTTACAGTTAACAGCCATTTTGCTACAAATATATTAAGCTAACATTATAATTACTGGAAGGCCATGGACACAGTTTGAAAACGATTCAGATCGCTAAAGACTACAAGGCAGAATTTGCGTCCTGTGTGTGAAATGCAGAGATGACATTTTATTCTTATTTTTTAAAGCCAAAACAACAACTAGACCAAAGTTTCTGTTCATTTATACCAGATCATGATATAAATGGGCCTAAGAAATATGGCAAATACTGGATTTGATGTGTGCAGGTGCTGAAGCGTTAAACATTTGGATTGTCCCATGTTAAAAGAAGACTAGCTAAAGTACTTGAGAGAAAATAGTAGTAGCAACCATTTTGTGTTCTTCTGTCCTAACGACCTGAAAATGTCATAACGTAAGCCAAGTCCTGCAAATCTGGATAGAGAAAAATCTTTGCTTAGGACGTTTTTTTCCCTCTCTCTGTTACTGTTCTGTTTCTGTATATAGCTCCTTTTTTAAGCAGGATTGTGTGTGTGTGTGTGTGTGTGTGTGTGTGTGTGTGTGTTGCAGCTGAGGATATATCTGCTCTGTCCCAAGCTGTGGTGTGTCTTTCCTATACAAGTTGTTCCTGACTGCTATTTCTATGCTACTGGTTTCAGCAAAGCTGCTTACTATGTAACAGACCAGAGTGTTTAGCAGACTGTACCAAGCTACTGATGCATGCACATGTGGGTCAGACAGAATTAATTCAACTGAAGAGGCCACCTTCCAGAAAGCTTCTAGTTCTAGTTAGCCTGATAGCCTTTATGATTTCTTGAATCCAGTATATCTGTGCTGTCACCAGTTTTATCAATGCCAGGTTGTTCTGTGGGAATTCTAATCCCTGGTTGTCATGCTGAAGCTAGGATGATCCATTGTCCTTCCATAATCCGCTTGTGCTTGGCTTCCTCCTCAGCAGACGGGTGTGTGTTCACTCCAATGTTGGACATGTCCTACATCAGGATTTCAGGAGCCAAGGCTGAAGCGCTGTTTTAATTGATGGTGATGCTATGTAAGTGACCTTTTGAGTGGTTGCATTGATAGTCTGGGTAATGAAGAGCCCAGTAGCCCATGCTCTCTCTGCACTTGTGTGTATATGGGAAGCCCAATTGTCTCACTCAAACCAAGGGCTTGATTTCCCTTGATAGCATCTCTTTCTCTCACTCAGCCTCTCTCTTAATTATACTCTATTTCTCTTCCATTTTCTCTTAATCATTGTGCACTCTAATCTTACATTCTGTTGGTTTATTTTGTTCCCTTTCTAAAACACCTGAAATGGTTTACTTAAAAAAAGTACACATGCATAGTCACAAATTTTAATAAAAAAGAAAATAGGATAACAAACATACTTTTAAATATACCTCTCATCATACTCTGCCACCCAACATAATCAAAGCCTGGGCGCACTATCTCATGGGACAGCTGATGCCCGTCTTCTGCAGTTCCAGCTGACTGACTGCCGACTGGCATTGCTTGCTCCCCCACTGCATTTAATATGCAGCTCCACCGATTCTTGAAGAGGCAGACGAATTTGATCAAAGAAAGGCTGCACTGCACATATTTGCTTCTTCCTTCATACGTCCTCTGGCTTGAAACTTTTCCTGGCGCCACACTTGATACAAATGCAAATGTAAATACAAATCT